TGAGTCTATTTCGTTTAGCTGAGTCTATTTCGTTTAGCTGAGTCTATTTCGTTTAGCTGAGTCTAATTCGTTTAGCTGTGTCTATTTAGTTTAGCTGAGTCTATTTCGTTTAGCTGAGTTTATTTCATTTAGCTGAACCTATTTCGTTTAGCTGTGTCTATTTAGTTAAGCTGAGTCTATTTCGTTTAGCTGAGTCTACTTCTTTTAGCTGAACCTATTTCGTTTAGCTGAGTCTATTTCGTTAAACTGAGTCTATTTCGTTTAGCTGAGTCTATTTCGTTTAGCTGAGTCTATTTCGTTTAGCTGGGTCTATTTCGTTTAGCTGAACCCATTTCGTTTAGCTGAGTCTATTTCGTTAAACTGAGTCTATTTCGTTTAGCTGAGTCTATTTCGTTTAGCTGAGTCTAAATCGTTTAGCTGTGTCTATTTAGTTTAGCTGAGTCTATTTCGTTTAGCTGAGTTTATTTCATTTAGCTGAACCTATTTCGTTTAGCTGTGTCTATTTAGTTAAGCTGAGTCTATTTCGTTTAGCTGAGTCTACTTCTTTTAGCTGAACCTATTTCGTTTAGCTGAGTCTATTTCGTTAAACTGAGTCTATTTCGTTTAGCTGAGTCTATTTCGTTTAGCTGAGTCTATTTCGTTTAGCTGGGTCTATTTCGTTTAGCTGAGTCTATTTCGTTTAGCTGAGTCTATTTCATTTAGCTGAGTTTATTTCATTTAGCTGAGTCTATTTCTTTTAGCTGAACCTATTTCGTTTAGCTGAGTCTATTTCGTTTAGCTGAGTCTATTTCGTTTAGCTGAGTTTATTTCGTTTAGCTGAGTCTATTTCGTTTAGCTGAGCCTATTTCATTTAGCTGAGTCTAATTCGTTTAGCTGTGTCTATTTAGTTTAGCTGAGTCTATTTCGTTTAGCTGAGTTTATTTCATTTAGCTGAACCTATTTCGTTTAGCTGTGTCTATTTAGTTAAGCTGAGTCTATTTCGTTTAGCTGAGTCTACTTCTTTTAGCTGAACCTATTTCGTTAAACTGAGTCTATTTCGTTTAGCTGAGTCTATTTCGTTTAGCTGAGTCCATTTCGTTTAGCTGTGTCTATTTCGTTTAGCTGAGTCTACTTCGTTTAGCTGAGTCTATTTCGTTTAGCTGAGTCTATTTCGTTTAGCTGAGTCTATTTAGTTCAGCTGAGTCTTTTTCGTTTAGCTGAGTCTATTTCGTTTAGCTGAGTCTATTTCGTTTAGCTGAGTCTATTTCGTTTAGCTGAGTCTATTTCGTTTAGCTGAGTCTATTTCGTTCAGCTGAGTCTATTTCGTTTAGCTGAGCCTATTTCGTTTAGCTGAGTCTATTTCGTTTAGCTGAGTCTATTTCGTTAAGCTGAGTCTATTTCGTTAAGCTGAGTCTATTTCGTTTAGCTGAGTCTATTTCGTTTAGCTGAGTCTATTTAGTTTAGCTGAGTCTATTTCGTTTAGCTGAGTCTATTTCGTTTAGCTGAGTCTATTTCGTTTAGCTGAGTCTATTTCGTTTAGCTGAGTCTATTTCGTTTAGCTGAGTCTATTTCATTTAGCTGAGTTTATTTCATTTAGCTGAGTCTATTTCTTTTAGCTGAACCTATTTCGTTTAGCTGAGTCTATTTCGTTTAGCTGAGTCTATTTCGTTTAGCTGAGTCTATTTCGTTAAGCTGAGTCTATTTCGTTAAGCTGAGCCTATTTCGTTTAGCTGAGTCTATTTCGTTTAGCTGAGTCTATTTCGTTTAGCTGAGTCTATTTCAATTAGCTGAGTCTGTTTCGTTTAGCTGAGTCTGTTTCGTTTAGCTGAGTCTATTTCGTTTAGCTGAGTCTATTTCGTTTAGTTGAGTCTGTTTCGTTTAGCTGAGTCTATTTCGTTTAGCTGAGTCTATTTCGTTTAGCTAGTCTATTTCGTTTAGCTGAGTCTATTTCGTTTAGCTGAGTCTATTTCGTTTAGCTGAGCCTATTTCATTTAGCTGAGTCTAATTCGTTTAGCTGTGTCTATTTAGTTTAGCTGAGTCTATTTCGTTTAGCTGAGTTTTTTTCATTTAGCTGAACCTATTTCGTTTAGCTGTGTCTATTTAGTTAAGCTGAGTCTATTTCGTTTAGCTGAGTCTACTTCTTTTAGCTGAACCTATTTCGTTTAGCTGAGTCTATTTCGTTTAGCTGAGTCTATTTCGTTTAGCTGAGTCTATTTCGTTTAGCTGAGTCTATTTCGTTTAGCTGAGTCTATTTCATTTAGCTGAGTTTATTTCATTTAGCTGAGTCTATTTCGTTTAGCTGAGTCTATTTCGCTTAGCTGAGTCTATTTCGTTTAGCTGAGTCTATTTCGTTTAGCTGAGTCTATTTCGTTTAGCTAAGTCTATTTCGTTTAGCTGAGTCTATTTCATTTAGCTGAGTCTATTTCGTTTAGCTGAGCCTATTTCATTTAGCTGAGTCTAATTCGTTTAGCTGTGTCTAATTAGTTTAGCTGAGTCTATTTTGTTTAGCTGAGTTTATTTCATTTAGCTGAACCTATTTCGTTTAGCTGTGTCTATTTAGTTAAGCTGAGTCTATTTCGTTTAGCTGGGTCTACTTCTTTTAGCTGAACCTATTTCGTTTAGCTGAGTCCATTTCGTGAAACTGAGTCTATTTCGTTTAGCTGAGTCTATTTCGTTTAGCTGAGTCTAATTCGTTTAGCTGTGTCTATTTAGTTTAGCTGAGTCTATTTCGTTTAGCTGAGTTTATTTCATTTAGCTGAACCTATTTCGTTTAGCTGTGTCTATTTAGTTAAGCTGAGTCTATTTCGTTTAGCTGAGTCTACTTCTTTTAGCTGAACCTATTTCGTTTAGCTGAGTCTATTTCGTTAAACTGAGTCTATTTCGTTTAGCTGAGTCTATTTCGTTTAGCTGAGTCTATTTCGTTTAGCTGAGTCTATTTCATTTAGCTGAGTTTATTTCATTTAGCTGAGTCTATTTCTTTTAGCTGAACCCATTTCGTTTAGCTGAGTCTATTTCGTTAAACTGAGTCTATTTCGTTTAGCTGAGTCTATTTCGTTTAGCTGAGTCTATTTCGTTTAGCTGAGTCTATTTCGTTTAGCTGTGTCTATTTCGTTTAGCTGTGTCTATTTCGTTTAGCTGTGTCTATTTCGTTTAGCTGAGTCTATTTCGTTTAGCTGAGTCTATTTCGTTTAGCTGAGTCTATTTAGTTTAGCTGAGTCTTTTTCGTTTAGCTGAGTCTATTTCATTTAGCTGAACCTATTTCGTTTAGCTGTGTCTATTTAGTTAAGCTGAGTCTATTTCGTTTAGCTGAGTTTATTTCATTTAGCTGAACCTATTTCGTTTAGCTGTGTCTATTTAGTTAAGCTGAGTCTATTTCGTTTAGCTGAGTCTACTTCTTTTAGCTGAACCTATTTCGTTTAGCTGAGTCTATTTCGTTAAACTGAGTCTATTTCGTTTAGCTGAGTCTATTTCGTTTAGCTGAGTCTATTTCGTTTAGCTGAGTCTATTTCATTTAGCTGAGTTTATTTCATTTAGCTGAGTCTATTTCTTTTAGCTGAACCCATTTCGTTTAGCTGAGTCTATTTCGTTAAACTGAGTCTATTTCGTTTAGCTGAGTCTATTTCGTTTAGCTGAGTCTATTTCGTTTAGCTGTGTCTATTTCGTTTAGCTGTGTCTATTTCGTTTAGCTGTGTCTATTTCGTTTAGCTGAGTCTATTTCGTTTAGCTGAGTCTATTTCGTTTAGCTGAGTCTATTTAGTTTAGCTGAGTCTTTTTCGTTTAGCTGAGTCTATTTCATTTAGCTGAACCTATTTCGTTTAGCTGTGTCTATTTAGTTAAGCTGAGTCTATTTCGTTTAGCTGAGTCTATTTCTTTTAGCTGAACCTATTTTGTTTAGCTGAGTCTTTTTAGTTAAACTGAGTCTATTTCGTTTAGCTGAGTCTATTTCGTTTAGCTGAGTCTATTTCGTTTAGCTGAGTCTATTTCATTTAGCTGAGTTTATTTCATTTAGCTGAGTCTATTTCTTTTAGCTGAACCTATTTCGTTTAGCTGACTCTATTTCGTTAAACTGAGTCTATTTTGTTTAGCTGAGTCTATTTCGTTTAGCTGAGTCTATTTCGTTTAGCTGAGTTTATTTCATTTAGCTGAGTCTATTTCTTTTAGCTGAACCTATTTCGTTTAGCTGACTCTATTTCGTTAAACAGTCTATTTTGTTTAGCTGAGTCTATTTCGTTTAGCTGAGTCTATTTCGTTTAGCTGTGTCTATTTCGTTTAGCTGAGTCTATTTCGTTTAGCTGAGTCTATTTCGTTTAGCTGAGTCTATTTCGTTTAGCTGAGTCTATTTAGTTTAGCTGAGTCTATTTCGTTTAGCTGAGTCTATTTCGTTTAGCGGAGTCTATTTCGTTTAGCTGAGTCTATTTCGTTTAGCTGAGTCTATTTCGTTTAGCTGAGTCTATTTCGTTTAGCTGAGTCTATTTCGTTTAGCTGAGTCTATTTCGTTTAGCTGAGTCTATTTCGTTAAGCTGAGCCTATTTCGTTAAGCTGAGTCTATTTCGTTTAGCTGAGTCTATTTCGTTTAGCTGAGTCTATTTCGTTTAGCTGAGTCTATTTCGTTTAGCTGAGTCTGTTTCGTTTAGCTGAGTCTATTTCGTTTAGCTGAGTCTATTTCGTTTAGCTGAGTCTATTTCGTTTAGCTGAGTCTATTTCGTTTAGCTGAGTCTATTTAGTTAGCTGAGTCTGTTTCGTTTAGCTGAGTCTATTTCGTTTAGCTGAGCCTATTTCATTTAGCTGAGTCTATTTCGTTTAGCTGTGTCTATTTCATTTAGCTGAGACTCGTTCTGAATTTTTGTTTTTCTTAATTAAATATTGCCATCTTCCTGTTTCATATTTGGGCGCTTTGTGCGAAAGAAAATAGTCAGTTTAGGGTGTATACATCTGAAAGTTTTGTCAAAAATTTATTTTTTCAATGCTAAAATTGTTTTTTCGACTTATTAGCGCTCCTAATAAATGGTTTCTTTGATTTAAGAGCTCTCTGGGAACTTGCATCACAGTCCCTGGTTCTTTTCCCCTGGCGTTGACTGCCAAGATCTACAACAGGAATGTGTTAGTATAATAAAATGTCTTTGTTTTAACATAAGATCGAAAATCAAAAATTCCGTTGGAGATTTTTTGTAATGAATTTCGACATGTTATTGTATTAAATTATTCCTTGTTGTAGAATTCAATTGTAAAAATCGTTTTCTTCGTCTTTCTTTAGTTTGTTTGTTCTCTGCAGGTGTGGTATAGATGTCAAAAGGTCAGCAAAAACTGTCATGTACAGCTTGGAAATTTTTCCGTTGAGCTGAAGATGCCTTCCAATTATTATTTAGTGTTGAAGTTTTTCTTTTTTGCTCATTTTGCGTACTGTGACAAAGTTTCGAAAGTTCTAATCACAAGGACCTGTAGGGCAGGGAAATTTTTATCCCAGATATTTAGTTTATAATTTTCTGATAATGCATGCTTGTGTTCATAGTTAACTGCCTGTAAGATTTTGATTTTAATTTTTTTGCTAAGTGTAGTGTAAAGTAAAAATAAGATAAAACAACAATCCAAAATAATTTCATAGTGTTCAATATAGTTTCATTCTTTTTCGCTGATACGACAGAGTTTTTGAACTTATTTAAAAATCTTTAAACCATATCATCTATCTGTTTTTTTTTTCGTTCGTAGGCTGACTAAAAATATGTTTGCAAAATAGGTTACACTTACAGGAAGTATTTTCAGAAACATTGATACCTAAAACAGAAACAAAGCGATAAGCACGGACATCCGAAAATCTTTATAAAGCAAAAAACAAATTTAAGTCAGGAATTGTTAAATGGAACACAGCGACTTAGCTCATCAACAAAAAATTTTCATAAATTTCAAATTACATTCGCAAAAGAACTTTTAAAAAGGATTTCATAATTGATAGAAGTTTTGGCACATTGAAGTAGAGACTTGATTCGGGCATAGTTAAAAATGCTCTTTCTGATGAGAGCTCAAAACCCCGCTTTTTTAATATTGGGTAATGGTTGTTCAGACCTCTTCTAATGGATTGAGAAGAAATTATACGTACAGTGGGTTTTTCAACCGATATGTTAGGCACATCCAAGAAAGCTTATCTGGGATCAACCAAGGCAGAATAAAGGGTTTAATTGAGGGTTGTTAAAATATATTTCATTAAACATTTTTTTATTCTGGAGGAAAAACTGATCCGATTAATTTTGCCTTTTAGGCTAACTTTGAGAGTGCGTGATTGCGGGGGATTGCTTGACACGGTAATGGATGCTGAATTTTTGGTTCATTCTATACGCTGCTATTTGACTATTAATTAAAAAATAGCAACCCTCTCTCCGAACGCTCTTTTGGTAAATGAAAGACACATGAACTTTTTAATAATAACTTCAGTTTGATTTAATGATTAAAAAAAGAATTTTAAGTTGGAGTGGGAATTACCAGAAGAATAAAAATCATGCGTATTAACCCAGTTTTTTCAAAGTTGACGCTTTAACAAAAAAGGTCAGCAGAAAATTTTCTTTAAACTAGTTGATTTTTTTGTCTTTAAAAATTTTAATGAAAAAGTGCTTAGTTATTTTTTTTGAGTACATGTGTTCGGCACTGAATGTTCCGACGATAGTCTGAAAAAAAGCAACAGAAAATGTTTTTCAAATAAGTGTCATTGTTACTGCGTGGTGTGACAAAAGATCTGAACGAAAAACTAGAAGTTTGGCCTATTCGACACTCATAGTAAATTAAGCAAATTGGACAACATTTTTTGTAGAAAAATGGCTAGCAAAAAAAACAACCAATGTATTTTTTTTGATTCCAAAGTTAGTTTTGACGGCTTAAATTAAGCTATATAAGCTATTAAAATTAGCAATTGTAAGCCTGATCGCTCGCTTTTTTCGCTTGAATTTAAAAAAATTTAAGTAATACTTAAAACCTGTTTTTCTCGATACTGGCACAATTTTAGAAAGTTTTTTAATGTCGTTCGAATCACGGCTGAAAGAGTTTTAATATTATATATCAGTCGACCCATTCCGATAATTTTTTGTGGTACCTGATTTCGCGCGGAAAACAAAAAAACTAAGAAGAATCGAACACAAAGTTCCTCCCAATTTTTCAGATGTGCAGAACGGTAGGCCGACAATTCGTAACTGGCGACAATTCGTAACAAGTGACAATTCGTAACAACGCATTTGCAAGTAGAATACGCTTGCTCCGCTGCGCTTACATCCGACACGAGAGGAATACTGCGCATGAATCAGTGTTCGCCGCTTCATATACTGTTACGAATTGTCGCTGTTACGAATTGTCGACTGTTATTAATTGTCGCGTCACGGTTAGGAGCAACAATAAAATGTGTTTCTTAGGGGTAGAACTTTGTGTTCATTGTCTGCTCTTTACTCTAGGATATTCTAAATTTCTTACTTGTCTGAATGGGAAAATTGCAGACTGTTTTTTCTCGACACTTAAAAAGTTTGAAAATTTCTCATTGCAGCTCAAATCAAGACTGAGAAGACTTGAATATTATTTAATATGATTTTATACCATTTAACTTTTGGTTTTTTTGCTAAAAAAGGCCTGAATGTTGTACGTCGTCGAGTTATTTTTTCCATCTTCGTTTGCATGATATCAAGACATACATGCTTCAGAAATGACTGTGAAACTCGGCCGGATATTTTCGGGGATCCAGCCTTCCGCTGCAACACCACACTTGGGAAACTATATCGGAGCGATTAAACCATGGACGCAGTATCAACATATCACACCTCTCAAGCCTATTTTATCTGTAGTTGATCTTCATGCTCTCACAAACCCTTCTTTGACGCCAAGTAAACTGCGTGATAATATTTTTCAAATGACCGCGTCTCTACTAGCATGCGGGTTGGATCCACAAAAATGCGTCATTTTTCAACAATCAATGGTACCTCATCATTCTGAGCTAACCTGGATTTTGACTTGTGGCTGCACGTTGAACAGACTCCAATCTCTTCACGCCTGGCGTGAAAAAGTGAAGAAATTGGGAAAGGGAGCGGGCCTTCCCTTAGGAGTATTAATGTACCCAGTTTTAATGGCTTCTGACATATTACTTTACCAAACAAATACAGTTCCCGTAGGTGAAGATCAAGTTCAACACATTGAGCTTGCAAGGGACATTGCTTCAGGTTTCAATCAGAAATTCAACAGTCATGTGTTTAATATTCCTGAAAAATTGATCCAAGAAGAAAGTAATCGAATTAAATCGTTGCGGGATCCACTCGCTAAAATGAGCAAATCAGATGACAATCAGTTCAGTTACGTAACTATTTTGGATGAGCCTGATCAAATTCAAGCTAAAGTTAGAAAAGCAGTTACAGATTCGAACCCAGTCCTGACCTTCGACTCGGAAGCTAGACCGGGTGTGTCGAATCTTATCAACATTTTAGCGTCTCTGAAAAATCAATCTATTAGTGACTCGCTGCAAGAAATTGAGTCTATGAATACACTGCAATTGAAAAATCTCGTGTCAGATACCATTGTAGAACATTTGAATCCCATTCGAAAAGAGCATCATCTTTTAATGAACGACAAAGCATATCTTTGCACTTTGTTGGAAGACGGAAGGAAGGAAGCTGCAGAAATTGCTGAGAGAACTTTGAAAATTGTTAAACAAACGATCGGGTTGATCTAGTTGTCATTGTGTCAAAAAAGTTCAGTTGCTAATTTAAATTTTCATCGCTAATTAGATTTTGATTCCGAATGAAGTCATCAAAGTAGCTTGGTATGCAAATCTTATTGATCTAAATAAGCAATTTGCAAAATTCGGCGCCTAGAATAATCATGGTAATAAAAAATCGATAACGTTTTTAATTAAAGGCCAAGTTGAATTGTAAAACCTCTCATTTTTCAATTTTGAAACCATACAAAGTTAACGAATTTTAGTCTGCAAAGGACAATACCTTCTGTTAAGAATGAAACAGTTTCTAGGATTGGCTTTTCTGGTGCTGATTTTTGGTAAGTATCTCTCCCAAATGATAACAGGTTTCATATAAACCACATAAATATAGAAACATTTTGCAAACCTTCGTCAATTTTGAGGGGAGACAATTGAACTTAGTGAATCAGCTGTTTTTTGTCATAAATCGCAAAGTGGCGCTTTTAATTTCACCTTGTTCATCGCTACTACATCTTCTTGTCTGAATGTTTGAACTATAACTACACTTACAAATTATTAAGAGCTTGGGATGATGTCCAACCAGAAATAATGTTCGCCACTGAAAATAATGTTTTGATCGAATGCCGAATGGAGGTTTTTAGAAGCCTAATTTTAAAAAAAGTGCGTTGTTTCAAATTTCGAGAAATACTTTGGCTCGTGTGGTTTTTTTCCTCTGACAAATTTCGATTTTTTAACTAGCAAATTTTGACGGATTTTTTGGCAATTAAGGGTGTAAGGATTGCCAATTGTGCCGTTTTGGGATAAATAACGCGCGATTTATTTCGTGCTATGGACGATGAATCCGTCTTAGAAATGGTTCTTAATTAAATTGAGGTATGCTAGTTGGTCTACTTAATGCTTTGCTATATGTGAAATATATCGCTTATTACTTCAGATAGCTTGCGACGTTATGGGTTTCAAAAATTTGTTTGGAAACTTGCATCAATTTTTGAACAAACACTACTGCGTTGACGTTGAAAAGCAGTCGGAAGGCTTCTCCTAGTCTTTTTCTTCTGACTTTCGAAAAAAATATGGAATAATTGTGCTTGGAGGTGGTTTTATTCAGTAAAATTTCGGCCATCAAAATAATAGTTTTTACCAAAAAGCTTTTATACACCATTGAAGATATCGACTCCCGAAGTTCAAATGTATAAAGATATTTTACTTTCGATTATTTTTTGTAAAGTTCTGGTTGTTTGAAAATGCCGATTGGGCCATGCTCCGGACTAATTTGTGCGTGCTGTGAAGATTCATTACGAGAACTAGATGTGTTATTTTTGTATAACACACGTTTGCTAAGTTTATAAGTACACATCCGTGATTTCACTTGTAATCGGGACCTTGACTTTTTCCCGTAAACAACTTTTCGTTTAAACTTTGCAAGAAATACGTGAAGCTATTGCATTTAATTTCACGTGCAGCTAACATGCTCAATTTCTTGGATAATCAAATTAAAGCTCCTCGTAGTTCAATTTAGATTGTCACGTAATTTTTTCAAATATGTTTATTTTTCAAATTTTCACAGATTTTTTTTTGGATTTATGGTTTTGGTCTTTATTTGTGTCGGCAGATTTTCCGTTTTTCCATCTGTAGTTTTTATTATCTGGTACACTTCTGAAGCAATTTTTTTCCAAAGCTCGGAGCTTTTTTGTTCAAACTAGTTTTATTATAAGTGAAAATTGTTCTGTAGTTTGTAAATTTACCACTCTGGTTTTGAATTACCACCTCTGGTTTTAATTTTTTTTTCGCTTAAACGGGTTCAGTTTATGTTATGTCGCTTTAGTGAACTCATATTGCGTTATTTCAGGGTCTATTTTCTAGGGCTTTTTCGGGTTTCAGGAGGAATGGGTCGTAAAATTTTTAGATTCTCAATGCTTGTACAGGCTCTGTTAATGAGCATCTGATACAGAGGTATCAAATTTTTGTAAATGTTGTTTTAAGCTTGTTTTTCAAAAAAAATCGACTTTCTTTTCATCTATTCAATACTTTGCATTGCAATGTTTTAATTGTATAGCAAGTGTTTCGAAGCTTTGTGACACAAGTTTCACAGGACCAAAACCACCAAATCAACTTGTTCAACCAAATATCACCGAAGCCTCGTAATGTTTTGTTTATGATGCTGAAAGCGTGAACGCGATTTATTCATATACGTTGCGAGTTATCCCGCACCCCACAATCATTCCAAATTTAATGGAGGCATGCTAATTTGTCGTATTAGCTTCGTACTACTCAAATTTTTACCTTAGATGTTCGATATTGTCCAAAATTTATGGTTTTCCAATACTTTCTTTCGAACAATTATGCCGATTAAGGGAGGGGGCAGTCCGAACATTTAGGGTTTTGCCATGGTATACGAGCAGCCTCGTTTTTATTCGGAAGAGTTCGCTAAATGAGTACAATCTATGATCGAGACTGAATTTTAAAACAAAACTTTCAGAAGCTCCAAGAAAGCGCGGCAGTGGTTGAGATAGTATATCATATTCAAACAATTTCTGTACGGGATCGGCATCCAGAAAAACAATTCAAAACGTTTTCTCAACCTCAAGGAAAATGAATCTGTGATTCTGGTTTAGCTATAGAGCAAGTTCATTGGAAACTTATTGCACAGTCTAATCGAAACATTTTAATTAAACAACATACGTTTGGACCCACCTAATTAAGACGGTCTGTTTTTTAGCAGCGAGGAATGTATGAACATTTGATAACCTAGGTCTCTACGCAGGCTCTGATCTCATTGCTCGAAATACGGCAATAAAACACAAGCCTGACTTAATTCTGTGGAGAACATTACAAAAATGTTATTTTAAAATTATTTTTATGTTCTCACCAGAATATAGTCTGGCTTGTATTTGATTGTTACATTTTAACTTCTTAAAACATTTTTTAAACTTCTTTGGTGATCATCGATCGAAGAAAATCAGCAGCGTTATCCTTATTTTAGTACTAGCCATTCACTGTGGTCCTTCTGAGAGTATCGCTAACGACTTCAGCGGAGTTCCAGTTGATCGCGAGGTTCAAAAGCAGATTCGAGAGATGATCGCCCAAGAGATGGAAAGACGCCGAAAATGAAGAATCACGGAACTTGACAATTCAAAAATTACTGATTTTATCTGCAAATGTCTCCATGTTTTTATCTGCTTACTTCCCCTAAAATACAAATTCCTCTTAAAATAGAGATAAATTAAGACTAGAGGCGGATCTAGGGTTTTCTCGAGGGGGCAGGGGAATTTCAAAACGTTTTTGTAAATTTTGTCGACCTTTTTTTAGTTCGAACAAATTGATTTCCTGAGCGCTACCGGAACACTATAAGGACCCTATTTAGACAACAAATATTGCGTCGCCCAAATTGCGTTTTTTCGGCATGCGCTCCCCTTCAAAATTAGTATATATTGGCGCCAAAGGCGCTTTCAGAAAAATTATAGAGTTGATCGGCCGAAAATGAATGCCATGAAATAATACCAAAGGGGGACCCCTTTGGTTGATAAGGGGGTCGAATCCCTGAAGGGGGAGAACGTACGCCCCCGCCCCCTAAATTCTCACCTGATTAAGACAAAGAATTTTGGTTTTTATAAGGCTAGATTATTTTTAGGAATATAATTTTTGCTGCAAGGGGCTGATCTAGGATTTTATCGTGGATTTTTCAACCATTTTTGAAGAAGTATAAATTGCTTAAAAAGACCCTATCTCGTATAGGTTATATGCGCCAAATTTTTCAGAAAAGCTGGCCTCAAATCCCGTTTTCGAAACTTTTTTCCCGTAAACAACTTTTTTTTACACTTTCTGCAGCTCAATTTCGAGACTTGCTCAATTTCCTAAAATGCAATTAAAACTGCTTCTTAGTTCAGTTAAAGTAGTTATTAATGCTTGATAAAAACTTAAATTATGAAAATGTATGGGATTTGGTTTTTCATTTTTTGAGACTGGATTTTTTTTTAATTTTCCCAAAAAAAAATTTTTCTCGGAAAGTACTTACATACATTTCCCATACATTTTCATATTTTATGTTTTTATCAAACATTAATAACTACCTCAACTGAACTAACAGGCAGTCCTAATTCCATTTTCAGGAATTTGAGCAAGTCTCGAAATTGAGCAGCAGTAAATGAAAGAAAAGTTGTGAACGAGATTTGATTTTTCATTTTTTCATTTTTTTCTCGAAAACTACCCTCCCAAATCGGTTTAAACCGAAAAAAACTCATCTGCATTAGCAACTACGCCCAATTTTTTTCGACATAAAATGCAAGTATTTGTTTTTTAACGTTTTTGTGAAACCTTGATTTTTCTCAAAAAAATTCTACCAAATATCAGATTTTTGAATTAACAGAAGAGCGAGTTGCGGTCCGCCCTCCTGCATTAAAGGCTATGCCCAGAATTTTTAACCAAAATGTTAACGTCCTCGGAAATGTCATCATCATAATTAATAATTTTCTAATTTTTTTTCCACAAAAACTAACCTGCCAAATCTGAGATTTTGAGCTCAAACGATCAAACAAATTAGCTAAAGCAACCCTGCATAAGCAATTATGCCCAAATTTTTAACACAAAAGTTATGTCCCTCGGAAAATTGAAATTTTTTTATTTGACCGTTTTTTAAACAAGCAAAGCTTGTGTTATAGTATGAACTCTCTTTTTTTCCAACATAAGTCACAAATTTTGTTGCGACGCGAATATTCTTGCACGACAAAATCTGTTCATTTTGATCAATAACTAGCTATTCAGTACAGCCAATGCTAAGGATATTACCACAGACTATTACATTATAAATAGCACTTTAGTTTCAAGGTATCATGGATCTGTAGCGTAGAGGTAGGGAACAAGATCGGCAACAAAATAAGAGTGTTCGAACTTGGGCAGGTCGGATGTTTTATTGAACTTTTTCGTATACTAGATAAAATGCGTCCGCTCTATTAGTTGGTAAATTTCTTTATTTTTCAAATTGACTGGTACTGCTAATGCGTCATAATTGGATTGCGTCACTTAGCAATTATGTAGAATCATAATTGGCGTTTGTCACTTAAGAAATTTTGTAGACTCAAAGTTTAACTCATTCAGTTTTTCCCAGTATCGGTCATATTTTTGTTTGTGTATGCGAAGTGAAACTTCGCCTCTGGGTTGAAACTTCTTGTCCTGTTTCAAAAACTGCCCTCCCCTATCTGAAGATTCGGGTTCAATCAGAAAAGTGAGCTGTGGGAACTCCCGTGCATAAGCGGCTAAGCCCTCACTTAACATTTTTGAAAAAATTTTTACTTATCTTGAAAACTACCCTCCCAAATTTGAGTTTTTGGGTTCAATCAAAAAAAAGTTGAGAGAAGATCCATTGTATGCTTATTCAGCGGAGCTTCTCTCAATTCTTCCATTTGTTTGAACCCAAAATATTTCATTTGGGGGGTAGTAAGTTTTGGAAGGCTAGGTCCAATTTTTCTTTAAAAAAATATTATTGGCCCTCAAAAGTCAATGTTTTGACTTCTTCTCCAATTTTGAAATTTTTCACTTTTCTTGAAAACAACCCAGATGATATTAAGTTTTTAACCAAAGTATAACTTGACATTGTGTGAAGCCTCAGTGCATAAGCGGCTACGCCTTAAAGTTTGAGAAAAAGGTTTGTCTATGGAAAAACGAAAATCGAACATAAAAATCTACATACCGGCAAAATATACTGCTAGTTTTTAATGATTTTGCACAAAAACAATTGATAGTTTGGCAAGAAAAAAATTATAATAATACTAGTTTTAAAATATTGAACCTTAGGAGCTGAATTTTTAGTCGTATAAAGGAATTAAAATCTACCAATTCGTTTGCCTGATTTCAATTCCGAATAATTTTGTGTGCAGGATAAAATTTCGTAGTATGTTCTCAGAAACATAGTTAAAGTGTTCATAGTATTACACGAGCAGTTTATGTCGGAGCATAGCAGATTTAGGATAGTGTAGATTCCGGGATCACTCCCCACTCTATAGTATTTCAGTAATGGGCAGAATCTAAAAAACAACTCGAGCATGTAATTTCCTTGCTCTCTTACATTTCAATTGTGCTTTGTAACATTGCACCAAACATTGCCAAGAGACTTGAAAACTGTAGCTGAAAAAGGATAATGAGATTTATTGTGAATGATTACATTTGAAAAAACTACATATTTTAAGATCCTTGCGTCGGCTCTTTTTTTGTTCCCCCCTTTTGATTTTTTCGGAAATTTAATATGTGAAAACTTATTTAAAATGACTTTTTATGTTTCAAACTGCATAGATTAAAACGTGTCAGCGTAAACAGGTGAACAAATTTTTACAACGTTTCTTACATGCAAAATGCCGTGTGAACAACTTTTGAACAAATTTATTTTGAAATTTTACGAGGGGGTGGGAAACTGGAAAAGAGCCCTTGAGTCTTATGGATGAATCTTTTCATGATTGACGAAATTTTCTGATTTATTAAAAAAATGTTAGAAATTCAGATTTTCTGTATATCTCTCCGTCATTATTCGAATAGGCCTTCAATTTTAAAATAGGTCTTCAATTTTAAAATAGGCCTTCAATTTTGATTCCAAAAAAGACCGTTTACATCCAAGCAGCACCGTTTTTTGAAATTCAACAAACAATTATAAATTAAATTTACCCGTCAAGCAAAAAATATATAACTATTTTTGCTTTTGTTTTTTAAATCATTTTACTGTTTTCTTTATATTATATCTCATTATAAACCAGAAACTTTCATGATATATTTTTTATTTGCCTGTTTATCACTCAGCACGAATTTCTCTCCCGTATTAATTTTTTTCCCGGCCCTCTCCGATTGTTACTTCTTATTTGACAGCTTATTTACACATTAATTCTTTTTTGACAGCAAACTTTGGCTAGGCAACTGCCTCATTGTTTTCACCTGCGATATATGCCACACAAATTAAGGTAATGTCGGAATAGTCTGATATATGTTGAAATATCACAATTCTTCGGCAAAACAAACCGACATGGTTATTTCGATTTTCTATCCAAACACGTGCAGAAAAAGATATCAGCAACTCTATCAATTTTCTCTATTCATTATACTAGCAAAATTGTCGGGATCTCGGTGGTCTTCGCAATGAAAAAGGTCGCTAAAAACCAAAGTTCCAAAAACACTTCAATTTTTTTCGAATTACTTTAAAAAAATTAAATGATTTTCTTTTCTTCCTTGATTTCTATAAAAATTAGAGGCGAAGCTGCTTTACAGTATCACGTTCGCACATCTGCTCCACGAGCGCTCGTAACTTCACCAGCACTAGCCAGTAAAAAAGCAGCACATTTTTTCTATCAAATTGCAAATGTTATGCAGCAAAAATTCGGCCAAAAAATAAAACTATTTTAATGTTCCGGATTTGAAAATCCGACCTGTTGATTAGGAGTCTCATGTCCGCGCATCTGAGCCACGGTCATTTGAAAGTAACATAATGGCCCAGTTAATACTGGATTCACCTGTTCTAATGTTTTTAATCATAAATTGTGCTGATACGGAAATGCGTATTTTTCGGAGTTTCAAAAATCGAATTTACGCTAAACCCTAGTGTTTCTCTGCTTAACCGCCTAATTGAAGGAGAAAATTTGACTTTTCCTAAATCCATAAACTTTTCTCTATTACAGCATGGGAATAGCCTCTGCTTTCAAGTCCTGACTTATCTCTGATTTGGCTGGGTAGTTTTCAAAAAAACTGAAAAAGATTCCAAAAATCGATCAAAATTCAAAAACTTGACTTTTTCTAAATCGATTAACATTTCTCTATTAAAGCATGGGATAGCCTCTGCTTTCAAGTCCTGATTTTTAGATAAAAGATCCCCATATCCTGATTTTTTAAGTTGAACCCTTAATACCTGAATGAAGTAGTAGTTTTCGAAAACTTGAAAATTCAATTCTGTGGCAGCTTTTCTGCAGAAAACGGGATGAAACAGATTACGCAGCAAAAATCTATAAACAATGTTAATTTTTTCGAACTAACATCCTCAGAATCAGCCGGATAGTTTTCGAAAAACAAGAAAAACTTTCCGAAAAATGGGCAAAAATTCCAAAATTAACATTTTCTAAGGCCATATTTTTTTTCAAAATGCAGAGAATAGCCGCCCGCTTGCGCAGGTATGATTCGCAATTTTTTTTTCTTTTGGTTTACTTAATAACCCCCGATCTCCAATTTAGCAGCGCAGTTTTTTTAAGTCAAAAAATTAAAAACTAAATAAATGTCAAAAACTGTGCTTGTTTGAGTTCATATCTTTTTTTCTACCGAATTTTAGGGAATAGTCGCTTGGGAAGGGGAAATCCTCATGATTTGTTCTTTTGCTAGGAACTTTCAATTCAGATTTGGGTAATTAATGTATGAGAAAATGAAATAATTCAAAACAAAGAGATCAAAAATCTTCCTACTGAAACTTTTGAAGGCCGTAAAACGCTTTCTTTTAGGAAAATAGGCGGAAGTTTCTGAGAAAAAAATGAAATTTCTGCGAAAAAGGCAAAATTTTTCAAAGCGTCGCAAAAAAATGAAAAAAAAAGAAATCCCTTACATTTTCATGATACATGTTTCTTTTCAAACAGAACCTAACACTAGCCTAAAATAAAGCAACAAATGCCATAAATTATTTATTCGTAAATCAGCTCAATTGAAAAATACCAACAGAGCCACTGAATGACCTCTTTTGTTTTCGATATAGGTTAGATTTTTTCCAAGTCCTGATTTTTTAGATTGAACCCTTAAATAACTGATTCAACTAGTAGTTTTCGAAAGATTCAAATTTTAATTTTTGGATTGAATCCTTAATATCTGAATTAACTAGTAGTTTTCGAAAACTTGAAAATTTAAGTCCATATCAGCTTTTCTAAACGGGATAAAACAAATTACGCAGCGAAAATCTAAGAACCATGTTAATTTTAATGAACTATTAACCTCAGAATCAGCAGGTTACTTTTCGTAAAACAAGAATAAATTTCCAAACAACGGGCAGAAAAAATCAAAAATTGGACATTTTCTAAGGCCATTTTTTTTCCAAAACGCAGAGCGTAGCCGCTTGCGCAGGTATGATTCGCATAATTGATTTTTTATTTCTTTTGGTTTACTTAATAACCCTCGATCTTCAATTTTGCAGCGTAGTTTTTGAGAAGTCAAAAAATTTAAAATTTAACCAAATGTCAAAAACTGTGCTTGTTTGATGCTATGTTTTTTTTCTACCAATCTTTAGGGAAAGGCCGCTTGGGAAGGAGAGATCCTCATGATTTGTTCTTTGGCTTGAATTTTTTTTTCAGATTTGGGTATTTAGTATGAGAAAACGAAAACAAATAGATCAAAAATCCTCCTACTGAAACTTTCGAAGGCCGTAGAACGTTTTTTTTTGGAAAATAGGTAGTTTTTGATATAAAATGAAATTTCTGCAAAAAAGGCAAAAACTTTCCAAAGCGTCGCAAAACAATTGAAAACAAGAAATCCCATACATGTTCATGATACATGTTTCTTTTCAAAGAGGACCTAACACTAGCCTAACATAAAGCAGCAATATATGCCAATAAGTTGTTTATTCTTTAATCAGCTTAAATTGAAATATACAAAAAGTGCCACTGAGTGACCACTTTTATTTTCGATATGGGTTAGATTTTTCTTTTTTGTAATAATACACTACGCTTCGCTTGTATAAACATAGTTTGTTTAAAAAGAAAAAACTGAAACCTGTTTTACAAGACATCTATAAAAAGAATACAATTAAGTGGTCAATTTTCATGCTGAATATTTTCCACTGCATAATAAGCAATATGCCAACGCTCATGGCAATTTCAAGAAAATTCAATTCCGAATGAGCTTTTCAATTAACCATCAGGGAAGCTTGTAGAACAGCTCCACCAAATCTGGTCTTATCAACATGGTGCTTTCAAAAATTTTACCATGCCTGTTTTCTTTGCGATGATATTGTTTTTAAGTCACACCCCTACACACGATATATCAATACCTTGCTTGCATTATGAAGCTTTTAATCAAACACGACGTTCAGATAAAAAAAAGTGCTAGAGAACATTTTATATCACTCGAGACCCGCAATTTGGAGCTAGAGAAACATAAAATATGCATCTCATCAACTCCATAAGTCGACTGACAATCCGTTTTTGGTCAGTTCAAATCGTAAACAAAACGCCCGGGAAAAATGGGCCTCGAAAAAAACTTATATGCAAAAAAAAAAACGCCAAAATCTACCTCTGATCAGGAAATCCTGAAGCATAGCCAACAGAGAGTAGTAAGTAAAATGTTGATGTATTGCTTGAAGCAAAAACGACCATTTTTCTCATCTTCTGCATTTCAGTGGAAGCACGAACAATTTCTCAAAAATTTTTCAAAAAACGAAAAAAGAGCTAAATATATAAGCAGAGCCAACAGAAAATTGGAAAAGAGTCAACGAACGCAAGTAAGCAAAAAAATACTGTGCTTCTCCAATCTCAACTTTCGAAATTCGAAGAAAAAATAGGTTACCTTAAAGCTCTTTGAGTTTCTAGAAAAATTTATGAGTAAAATTTTTTGATTAAACAAACACAACTTGAGAAAACGGGATCAAACGATAATTTTTTTTATTTCGCTGGGAAATCTGAAATCAAATTCCACTTTCAAAACTAGAAACCGATCACATTTTTTATAACCTTCACACTTTGGCTGTTCGATATTGGAGTTGGCCTTCCTTTTAACAAGGAAATGATGTTAAAAGTAAATCAAACGTCAAAAAATAGAAAAACTGGAAAAAAAAATCGACTTTTATGAGAGTCTTCCCTACGTTAAGTGACTCTAAAAAAAAGGAATCGCTCCAATAAGAACCGCTGATTTGACAGTTTGAAAACCTCAGGCAAGAACTTTTCTTGTCACCCTGAATTGAAACAGGGCCCGTTGATTGAGATCCAATTATCTTACACAGATGCGAAGCTCCGCTTCGCAAACACAAGCAATGAAAATGAAAGAAAGAGCTCTAAACAGGCAAAAGAAAGGGAAATAAGGAAAAGATTTAAAAAACACCTTATGAAAAATTTTGAAAATCAACTTTGAGACAAGGAGTATTACGTTCTCAGATCTCCTCCACTATCCACAAAAAAGCAACAATAAATTCAATGTTCCGGATTTGAATCTCCGACCTGATGATTAGGAGTGTCACTCACGTCCTCACATCTGCGCAATGGTCAATTAGAAGTAAACTAGTGGCCCAGCTAATGCTGGATGTACCTTTTTTAAAATATTTTAAATCATATATTGTACTGACACGGAAATGCGTAATTTTCAAATTTTACGCAAAACTCTAGGAATTTCTCCGCTTAAGCAGGAGAATAGCTCCTTATTTTAAGAAGAAAACGACTACTCGCTCTTTCATTTGAATTCTCTATCTCAGATTTCGCTGGGCATTTTTCGCAAAAAGTGAAAAAGATTCAAAAAACTATCAAAAAGCTAGTATTTTCGAGAATAGTGCTGAAATTTCTAAAAAAGACTGTAAAAATTCCAAATAAATTTTCCCGAAGTACATATCAGCTTTTCTACAAAAAAAAAATAGGGTGAAACAGATTATGCAGGCAAAATCTAAGCACGATGTTAAATTTAATTAACTATCATCAACCTCAGAATCAGCAGCTTAATTTTTGAAGAAGCTGAAGTTTCCAAAAAAAACGGGCAAAATTTCAAAAGTTGGAGTTTCTAAGGCCAATTTTTTTTCAAAACGCAGGGCATAGCTGCTAGCACACGGAAAATTCACATAATTTTTTTTTCGGTTAAACCCTTAATCTCCGATTTGGCAGGATAGTTTTTAAGAAAAGTTATAAGAATTGAACAAAATGTCAAAAAATGGGAATAACCGCTTAGGAATGTGAGCTCCTCATGACTTGTTCTTTTGATTGAAACTTTCATCTCAGATTTGTGTATTTAATATTTGAGAAAATGAAAAAATTCAAAACAAACAGATCAAAAATCCTCCTTCTGAAACTTTCGAAGGCCGTAGAATGTGGGGTAAAATGACAATAGACTAGCGAAATATGCAGGCAGATAAATTAGCACCATGTTTGTTCAATGATACCGTTGTTTGAAAAAAAAAAGCAGATTACTTTTTGACAAAAATTGAAATTTCTGCGAAAAGTGCAAAAATTTTCCAAATCGTCGCAAAAAACAACAAACCCCATACAATTTAAGAAAAGTTATTTTTTCAAGCAGGAACTACACTAGCCAACAATAAAGCTACAACAGATGCTATTAAATTGCCTATGCTTAAACATGAATGAATTGAAACATACCAAGTCCCGCCAAATGAGCACTTTTATTTGCGACTTAGTTTCGAAAAACATTCTTGGTAAAAACACACTACGTTTCAATTGCGTAATCACTACAACACAGCTGCCTGCATCAGCATTTTTTCTTGCATCTTTAGCATCGAGAGCAATGCAGGTCTTAATGAAACCAATATAGATCATGCCGTTTAATTGCGCAGAAACTTTGCAACCAAGTGAATGACTTCTGAAAAAGGCGGTCTAGTACTATAACACAAGCTTTACCTCTTATACAATTAAATCGCGAATCAATTCATAATCGCAGAAAAATAACATAGATTTAGTTCTCTAAAAATCGAAACACACGAACAATAAATTTGATATAAATAGTCAACAAATCATAGCAACTGCGTTTGCATCACAACTGTATCGTACAATTTCTTCCGAATGGTCATGGTCGTTAAATTATATCAAGCGCTAAATTTAAATGACTTATGCAATAAGCCTGATCAATTTAAATTATAGTAGTTATGTTAATAGCGTGGTATTACATCAAATTCGATGAAAAAGTATTCAAAAAACAGTCTGAGTATTTTCAGATTTCTCTGAGCTTTTCGGCCAATCGGGAAAATTGATCATCATGTACAAGCGGTCACAAGACATTCTTGTTTGCTTTCAATGTGGACTGGGCTCAGCTGGTGTTAAGGTCGAACATGCTCAATCGATTTTGAACTTGACGTAGGGGATTTCGACATCCTCGTCGTTCTGTTCGCAGCACAGTTCCAACACCACATACTTCACATGCGACTCCAAAGGCATCTTCAGAATCTCTTCAATTATTGCTTTCACGCTGAAATACAGCAAAAAAAAAGATTTTTGAACATGTTTTAAATAAGGATTTTTCAACCAATAATCTAACCGAATATTGTTTTGATTACTTGGTTTTCCTGGTTGTCTTCCCAAAACGCTGTGTTTGGCGTTTATATTAGTGTTGAGACTCAAATGATCCTACTGGATTTGAAAAAGTTCCATCAAAGCCAATTGTCATTTGAAAATTGACCAGGAAATTGGTTTAAACGAAAAAAAAACATAGGTTTGATGTTTGGCACTTTTTCTAAAGCATATATTTTCCTAAAACGCTTTGATTTTTCAGAATCTTTTGTTTGACACTTTTTTTAAAAGAAGTAACACAATTTGAAACAAAAGATTAATATGTATTTTTATTCCGCTGCAAACCTTACATTAAATTTCCACTTTTGAAACTAAAAGTCATTCACAAGAAGACAGTTTAACCTCGAAAATGAAAAGTGAACGTGAACAAATTTTAACTCATTTTTCTTTAAAAAAAATTGCATGTGGATGACTGGATGCAATTCATGTGCTGCTAACTGACCTCTGTGACTGTCTGGTCTTCTGTTTTGCAGGTGGCATGAAGAAGGAGTAGAGCATGGACACCCCGTAGGATATCATCTGCACCTCCATCTTGTGCTCACTCTCGAAATAGTCCATCAGATGCTTCACTGTCGGCATCTCTGCATGACTCAACTCGAATCTGAAACATCACGTGACACTTTAGTACATCATAAATATCACCTTCTAACTTACTCAACGATGAAAAAACTGCTGGAATTAAAACGAGACTTCCCGATTATCTTTGTATTTTTATAGTTGTCCCAACAACTCGCGATTAAAAGAGATAAAACTATATAAGGGATTGGGTGTTTCTCGGCGTCAACGAAAGCTGGTCAGAAAATTTTCAGTTTTCAGACGAACTCAGCGAAGAAGAAAATCAGTCGATTTTTCATCTTGATAACGAACTCTTCAATAACTTCTCACTCTTCACAGCACAGAAATGGCTGATAAATTTTAGAAGAATCCTACAAGTTAGGGGGTCTATCATTTACGCATAAAAATAGAAAAGAAAAAATAGGTGTGGTCGAAACTTTCTGTGGTACTTGCTTATATTGTTCTATTTGGCTGTAATTCCTCATTTCTGATTTTTCGAAACAAGCCTTGGCTTCGTTTTCATGGTACATTTTTGGTGCACATAGCAGCATATTTAGCAAAACAACGTTTACCTATTTGAAAAAGCAACTTTCTAGCCCAAAAATTGATTTTTATTCAATTTCGCCAAAATGGAAGCAAGAAAGCATTTTTTCAGATAAATGCAAAACCACAGGGATATCGAAACTAAAATGGCTAGCCTGTCCCAAAGAGTCCATTCCGTGTCGTTGTACTTGGTCTTCTTCGGGGGAAGAGGTTCCGAAAATCCAAAATATGGCAGCGCCAAATTCACGAAACTACACTTGTACTTCTCAATATTTGTCTCCCCGTTTACTATCTGAAACATTCACCGCTTTAACTGAAATGCAATCTTAGTTTAGAAAAGTCGGACACACACTGAACATGAATATCACAAGCATAAATAACTGAACTTGTCCGAGTTAGCAACTTGTCTTAAACGCTAAACAACATATGAAGAGTCATACTGTATTTGCATGATAAAACCAATTCTGCCAAGCCGATCTGAGTACCAATTGAGATTAAGCTTCATCAACGGTTTCGTACGTTCGATATCGAAGTAATCGTAATGTTCTTAAAGACTTTGGACTGACTAACCTTGAACAGTTCTAAGCATACGAGTCCACTCATGACAGCAGTGGTTGTAGCGATGGCAGGAATAATTTTACCCGCTATCTTCTTACTCTAAAACAACACCATTTCTTGAAAAGAATTAAACTGTAAAAAAATGGACCCAATGAGTCTATTGCCAATTCTGCTGTCGATGTTTGGGTCAAATTGTCATCTTTTAAACCTTTAAAAAAAGACGTTTCTACCTGCTTCAAGCAGATTCATGGACACAGTCAAAATTCACCTACAAATTAAGTTTGAGACAATTTGTCTTTTTTGTTAAATCTTTTAGTGCTTCAATGGCATACGCTGTTTAAAATGTTATCAACTACTAGTATGAATCCTCACGATCTCGAAATTATCAAACATGATTGAGCAAACTAAAAATTAATCGATTTCTTCTTGACAAAAATGAAAAGTAATTGCAAAAATACATATTTTAAGCGTTTATTGAACTAACCTGGAATTTATCAGCCAACTCAATCGAATAGTTGGTAGCCCGGTTGTTCGAAGCAGCAGTAATGTAGTCTATGTGCCAGTTCAATTCATCATCTTTCTCGAAGTCAATCGCTTTTATATTCAGCTTAGCAGCCGCAGGTCCAGTCACCAAACTCTTACACTCTTCCAATAACGAATCCACTTCATCATCGCCTTCGTTGTTCATGGCGTCCAGTTCCGCGTCGTTCTCCGCAATTCGCACTCCCTCTCTCGCTTTAAAAACAGGAGGCTCCGGCAAGCTACCCAAAATAGATCTAACCTCTTCCAAAGTGTGATCCATGTTAGCCTTGCTCGTTCTGCACTGTTCAAAAGTTCTAATATTGAAATTTTCAGCTCTCAAAAGTGCTGCAGACGCTATGTACTCGATTTGATATTGGTAGGACAAGTCCAACTGCAGTGCTTCGGGACATCTTTTAGGTGGCGACCAGAAATCGGCTCCACTACTCGCCTTCTTGTCAGCGGGGAAGGCAAATAGAAGTTGGGCTATTTGGTTGCGGAATCTCTCCAACCAGCAGCCACGGGCCCACTTCACGCAGTCTTCGAAGGACGAGGGCTTCTCTTGGATGACTCGCTTTAGCTGCACCAGACTTTCTTTCTACAACAGAGTTCAGTTAACCACATGTTATAACAAATCGGTTGATCGCGCAAGTGAAATAAAATATTGAGTAGATGGGAGGCATATAAGGGGACCCGTGCGTGCAACTTGAGGGTAAAGCTACTTTTATCAGTCCATACAAATAGCCCAAAAATGTATTTAACAGAGAAAAAAAAACATTTCTTAACAAAAATGTATTTACCAGAGGAAAAAAAAACAGTTCTTAAGTTGATTTCGTCCTTGGTAGATAAATGGTCTTAATTAAGTAGTGAGTGAGTATCAAAAATGTGAGCAAAGAAAAGCGACCAGCAACAGCGTCATATTGCATAGCAATTTCCTTCAAAATACCGTCAACCTAATGCGGAAATCAAGACAAATACATCACACAGCTGCTTCATTTGAAAAATGGACGGTATGGTTTTTATCATACGTACACATTGTGACGCGGGTTGTTTTTTCAACTTAGCAAACAGTTCGTCCACTTTAGCCGCATCGCCCTTCACGTCTGAGAACTGAGCTGCTGTGAAGAAGGGCGTAGAGAACATGGACTCGAACTCTTCCCTGGCCCACTGGAGGGTGTGGCTGATCTCGTAGGGGAAGTTCTTCAGGGTGCAGATGGGGAATGAGCTCTCCGGGGGGTCCCTGGTGGAGCTGTAGGACTCTGTGATGTCCGGTATGACCACTTGGGTGTTTCCTTTGCTGCCCAGGGTTCCACTCTCCAGAAGGGGCTTGCGGTAGTACACACATCTGCGGTCCATGTATTCACCTGCAAATTGCCGAACACGATTAACATCAAAAGTATCAAAACATGAAAAAAATACGCACATTGTCAAACAAAAAATCTACACGAGCTAAATAAAAACGGAACACTGAGTCATAATTTTAGACGTCCTATAAGAACCTCAAGATACTCAGCAGAAAAAAACGATCCCTATCTTGGCGACAGCTTACGTGCAGCGATGTTGTCCAGTGCATTGGCTACCAAGTCAAGTCCTTCGAAGAAGCTGTCGCCGAACATACCCTCTGTCTCTGGACACACCTTCTCAAACTTGTGCTCTATGTTCAGGTCCGGATTGAATCCCTTGGCTGCTCTAGCCGCACACGCACTCTTTTCCGACTATACAAACATAACAAAATTAGATGAGATTTTCAAAATTGAAGGCGTAACAACAGCATAAACACGCTTTTTAATCAATCAATTCAAGGATTCTTTTCATACAATTTAAATATATTAACTTTATGCTAACAGATCTTACCATATATCTTGAAAATAGCATTAGTACCGCCATGCAATTAATTTGATGCAGGAGCTCTCATGTGCCTGAAAGCGCTGATTTTGTCAAACCTAAAAATTTCCTAAAATCTGCATTTTTTGAAAAACTTATCCCAAATGACTAAATTTTTTCTCAGTGCATGCGAACGTAATGATGAATTTGTACATATCTAGACAAACTGTTGGATTTACTTTGACATCTTCCTTTCTGAAGAGGAACTGGCGATTGAGGTTGGATGTCTCGATCGTGTCCATGTCCGTGATTGTGAGTTTGCCCTTACTGCCTGCAGATATGCCCACCATGGAGAAGTTCTTCAGGTGTTCACACCCTATAGCACCTGCTCCCACTATGAAAGCGTTCATATCTCCCAGTTTGTTTTGCATGTTAGCACCGAAAACTTTGATTTGGCCATCGTAGCGGGTATTTGTCTGAAAGCAACCCAAATATTATTACCAAATCTAAAAGCATAGTCATGTTCGTGTCCCCCTAATTGGCAATTTTAAACAGAAAAATAGTGCAGGGCAGTAGTAGCCACAAGAAAACAAATCCACAGACAGTGGAAAAGTAGGGCAATAGTCGCCACAAGAAAACAAATCCACAGACAGTGGAAAAGTAGGGCAATAGTCGCCACAAGAAAACAAATCCACAGACAGTGGAAAAGTGTCAGTGGACGCAAGGAAAATTACATAATATATTGTAAATAATATTGATAAACTAAAAAAAACATTAGTTTTAAAAACTAAGTTTCGAAACTAAGATAAAACAGATAGCCATAAAGCTCTTTGAATTTCAAGAACAATTTATGATTGAACACTTGCGATTCACAAAGCCACCGAATTGTTCAAAAAAACAACACCCGAAATTTTCAAGTGTTTGTTTCAAACTGAAACTCATTTTGATGAAAACCTGTGGCAAAACAGAAGAACCAGTATTGCATTAGCTTGAAAAACTTCGAATTGAACAACACATTGCGCTACAAAATAATCAGTGGAAAAAAGACCAGTCAAAAAATTTTCTGATAAACTGAGCTGAAAAAATTACTTTTCATCTAAATATAAATCGTAAAAATGGGAAAAACAACAGCTACAAAAACTTCATGGCTGTATCGGACAAATTTCATAAACAGATTTAAAAACAATTAAAATCATTCACCGAGCGGCAACAAAGGCGACAAATTTTGGGTCGAAACCTGTTGAGCCGAAAACAAAACTGTTGTCATAAAAAATTTACGATGTTTTAAAAGCTTTTACGACCCATCCATACTGAAGCACAAATTCTATACAAATAAAATTTGCCCTCGAAATTACGCAACATAAGTTGACTAAGCCGAAATAACAAACTGTTTAAATATTTTTAAGAAAAGAAATTAAGCCAACAAAACCATACCAGATAACCCAAATCTGTGTTGTTCTAAAAAAAAAACGGAAATGATCCGACAGAAACTTGGACGAAAATCAAGAACCCGAAAAAATTGAGAAAAAAAAATAATTACAACCTGAAACAGTCTTTATTGAACTTCTCCTTAAATGATGGTGATTTTATTTAAACTTCAACAATTTGAGCATGTCAGAAGCGATATTTACCAGAAGCGTGTCAGAAGCGATATTTACCATTCCTACTAAAATGACCATTCTGTGAGCAAAGTTATTTACGGGAAAAAAAGTCAAGCTCCCGATAGCAATACTCTTGCTTATCGCAACGGTAATAAACTTAACCCAATTCAACCTGGATCAACGTGTATTTTGTAATTGGAGAGCGTAATTTGCCTTCTTCTAACAAGGGCAATGAGCCAAAACGTAATCGAAAATTTAAAAGATTTTAGAAATCATCTATTTAAAAAGATTTCATGGTCGAAAATGTAAAAATATCACTAACAGAAGCACAATCTTTTTCGGTCATCTTGTCCCAGTCGAGTGGCAAACTCTCGACGGAGTCAAAGTAAAACCACTGGTAAATGGGCATGTACTTCCCAGAGCACGCCTTGATGACCTCCTGAGCAGTGATTCCGCCGATAACTCCATTCATCGGACACACTTGCCCGTCGCACGTGAACGAAAACATGTCCATTAATTTTGTGTCCAACTCTTCGTCCGCGCCAGCTATTTTTGTAGTTAGTGCCAGCAACTCTTTAGAGTCAGCTGCACTATACGCAGCCGGCTTGCGATTCTTCTCGGCCATGAATTTGTCTAAAGCTTGAAAAGCGAAATGCAATTGTCGTGGTGTTGAGAATTTGGCAAAGTCTGCAATGAGAATCTCAGGCTCTTTTACTGCTTCACTATACGGTTTCTGAACAAAGAATTATTGTTACTTCATTTCAAAGTTGTTATGATTATTCGCTAAAGACAAAAAATTTTACTCACAAAATCAACAATTTTAGGCTTTTTCACTTGTGTAGCAATTCCTTTTGTTTTGTAGTCGGAGAACGATGAGGTGTCGCCAATTTTGAAGGTGTAAGGACCTGAAATCAAAAATCATGAAGTTTGAATGATCCGTTTGGTGTAAAAGATAACAAAAGATCACCGTCATGCATCCAATGATGCCTCTACTAACCAGTGACTTCAATTTGGAACTCTTTTCCATTCAATTCACTCATGCCATCTACTTCTTTAAAAGTGATGAAGTCTCCGTCCTCGAATCCGTGTCTGGTCTCGTCCAGACATGTCACCTCTCCCTTCTCTCCTTTAGTCACACTTGCAATCATAGCACTCAGGGGGTCCTCTCCGTTGTGGTCATTCACGACGAAACCCTTTCCGAAATCATTGAAAATCATTCCAAACAGGCCTACAGTCTGAGCAACGATGAACTTGATCTTGTTCTCGTGACAGAAGTCGCCGACTGATCGCAGCTCCTCCTCTCGGCTCTCGGTTAGCACCACTACGTTGAATTGCTTGATGTAGTCGAGACTGAGTTTCTGAGTGAGGCTGCTCACACTCACCTCCGGATTCAGTTCGGCCAGTTTCTCCCAACAGCACTCAGCTCTATTCTTTCCAACATCTAAACAGGTGGGCGGTCTTGCGCGAAATGCCAATCAAAAGACCGGTGGATCGAGGCCAACCATGATCCGTAAGTGATCCTTGGGAAAGAGGCAACATTACCAGGACCAAAAACTCTCAACAGTGGGGAACAACAGCGGTTCGCCGTTAGGAGCTAGACAGCGCGTATGTTAGTAATTTTATCTCGGCTATATCTTCTGAGCCACACACGCTATATTAACATCTCAATCAAGCAGAAAAAAATATATACCGTGCAACAATTTAGAGGGTATCTTTAATACATTTAATTGAAAAGGCTGAAATGCAAACTCCTGAATTTGAGTGAAAGCCGAGAAAATCGATAAAATTCTATGAGCACTATAATTATTTTAATAATTAATTCACAATTTTTAAATCATTTCTTTGCATTCGATATCCATTTTGAACACCAACACTTGGAACACCAACACTTTGAAAATTAGGCTCCTAGAAAGAAGCAATACTTAAAATAAAGCTATCTTGATTGACTAACCCTGTTTAGTTAAATAATACTGAGAGGACAGATCCGACATAGACGCTGCAGTCACATCATGCACCGTGACGGCCCGCACTCCCGCCAAAATCACATTTTTCGCGATCTCCACCCCCAGGCCTCCCATGCCACTGATAAGCACTTTCGTCTTCCTCATTTCCAACATGGCACTTTTGCCCAGAGTGTATAACTGGCGCGAATAGAGATCCTCGTTGATCTTTGGTTCCACGTCCAGGAACTGTTGTCCAGTCGCTGCGGCTCCGTTCTGAACTCCATTTTGAGCTTTTCCTACCGTCATTTTGTTGTTGTTAGCAGATGAAGTTTGTTTGTGTTTCAGTTGGTGAGTGTCTTCTCCGTTAGCGGTGGTCGTCGTGCAGCCGTTCTTTATATCACTGGTAGTAGGAGGGTAGTTGTTCTCGGTTGTCACTTCAGCACTCGTTGGGGTCAACAACGCGACGCCGTTAATCTCTTCGGTAACACACAAGTTCTTCAGTGGAAACTGATCACCTGTTGGAATTGCCTTCTAAATAAATTTTGGCAACATTTTAAACGACACATTTTGAGATAATCGCTCATACATTTTTCAAAAATAATTTAGCTGCTGAAAATGCCAGGGGCTAATACATATACAATCATAGAACACTTATAGAAGGTCTTGACCAAAAAAGAGTTTTTCATTTCAAAATTTAAAAAACGAACTTAACTTTAAAACAAGTGTTTCCAGAACCAGACGAGTCTCTCTACAATTCATTACAATTCCCCGTACAGAAGTTTTTAGACTCATAGTTTTAAACTTTAATCTACTCGTTTTTCTTTAGTCATTACTTCGATTCTAGTCTTCTTATTTCAGGCTAAGAGACTCCGACAAAACTAGAACTGCAAATTAACTTGTAGCAAAGTAAACCCAAGAAATCACATGTAGTGAAGGTCCCTGGACATTTAGGGCAAAAGCGAATAAGAAAAAGTACATACGAACCTTTTAAATCGTACGGCAGTCAAAATTTTTCCTGCTTCAATATCCAAAAGAAGTGGAAAAAAGCGATGGATATACAATTTCTCTTTTATATATATTTTCAGGCTGTGTTAAATACGAAGAATAGTAAAATGGTAAAACAAGCTTTGAATAGAAACTAGCGTACAACTAAGGCAGAGAAGAATGACGACAGTATTTTATTATACCACCACCACGTTTAGCTAAAATGCTACTATCAAGACTAACTATGGGGGTAGATGGCACAGTGTAGGTAAGTAATGTGTGTTTTGGTGCGGTGTTGTTTCTTCAAATAGCAATGACGTTACTTTCGTGATCGAGGTCGCTTGCACAATATTAAATACGTTCACAGCCAAGCAACTGTTAAAACACGAATACCGTCTTTTTACCAACCACCACGTAGCATTTTACGCATTTTGACTTGTTGAAATCACAAATATTACATCATAGTTTCAATTTTTAACACCGCTTGAGAAAGATTCTACTGACGATTGAAGATACAAATTCAGGGTAAATCAAATATTACCTCTCTTTCGACAATCAAATCAACTATCACACAGATTCAGACAGAACTTGGCTCAGGAACCAAGTCTAACCAGAAAAATCTATCAAGTAAAAACAGTTTAGAAGTCGAAACGACACAAAATAGAGCATAACAACGAACATCCTTTGAACTTGTCGCAAACTATAGGAAACTAGTATGACTTAAAAAAGCTTGTAACATTTTTACCGTTTTTCGCGGCTCGAATGGACTCATTGTCCTCGAAATACGTTATATCGCATTTAAAAACTCTCATTAGAAACCTCGAGACGAGTATTTTTTGGTCCGATCATTTGAAAAATGCGGAAGAACTTTGTACTCGGGTGTTTAAGTTTATTTCTTTTTTTTTGTTTTTGTTTTCCACGCAAAATCAAGTACCCCAAATAATCATCGGAATGGGCCGCGTGATATATCATAATAAAGCCCTGTCAAATGTGACTCGAACTACACTAAAAAATTTTGAAAAATTTTTCTGTGTCAAGAAAAACCGGTTCGGAATTATTGATCTCTAATAAAGAGAGCTAGCATGCTTAAATAGCTCATCTATGCTTATTCTAAGCCGTAAAAACTTTGTTTCAGTCAATTACACTTACTTTTTGAGTTTTTTAGCGACATTTTGGGAATAAAAAACTTCTGCAAAAACTTTGAAAACAGCTTGTATAGAAACATTCATTTTCCTCTACACAAGCTGTTTTCCAATTTCTCTTTTTCACTATGACTTTTGAATTTACATAAGGTCTATTTTTTGTGTTTAGATCGTTTTATAACTCCACACCGAAAAAAGAACTAAACTAATTTGAGAAAAAAACTTTTTTTGAGCTTTTTAAGACTATGGTCGGAACATTCTGTGCTACTTGCTCAGTAACTAGCTATCCTCGTTGAAATGGTTTGAGATTTTGTTGTGAGGGGTTGCGGCAAGATTTTCCGGAGTTTTTAGACAAAAAGTCATCAGACTTATTCTGTAAATGAAAAGTGAGGTACAGTGGTGATATAAACTATCTAGACAAAACGCATAAAACTTGAAATTTCAACCGTTTTTTCCATTTTGGAACAACTAAAGATGAAAAATTATTCGGAAAAAACTTACCTGGAACTTTAGCAGAAATGATATGGTGCAATTTGTTTCCCAAAATTTAACCCAACAAATTACAAAATTTGTTCAGGCGATGTTTTGATTATTTTACTTCTAGGGCTTAAGTCGGACCCTTTAAAAATGGAAAAAAGCGACCCCCTAAAACATTGGAGAACCATTGTTTTAGATAATAAAACAAACTTTTGAGTGTTTTTTTTTTGCAAATTGCAAACCAAAACACTTATTGATCTCTAATAAAGAGAGCTAGCATGCTTAAATAGCTCATCTATGCTTATTCTAAGCCGTAAAAACTTTGTTTCAGTCAATTACACTTACTTTTTGAGTTTTTTAGCGACATTTTGGGAATAAAAAACTTCTGCAAAAACTTTGAAAACAGCTTGTATAGAAACATTCATTTTCCTCTACACAAGCTGTTTTCCAATTTCTCTTTTTCACTATGACTTTTGAATTTACATAAGGTCTATTTTTTGTGTTTAGATCGTTTTATAACTCCACACCGAAAAAAGAACTAAACTAATTTGAGAAAAAAAACTTTTTTTGAGCTTTTTTAAGACTATGGTCGGAACATTCTGTGCTACTTGCTCAGTAACTAGCTATCCTCGTTGAAATGGTTTGAGATTTTGTTGTGAGGGGTTGCGGCAAGACTTTCCGGAGTTTTTAGACAAAAAGTCATCAGACTTATTCTGTAAATGAAAAGTGAGGTACAGTGGTGATATAAACTATCTAGACAAAACGCATAAAACTTGAAATTTCAACCGTTTTTTCCATTTTGGAACAACTAAAGATGAAAAATTATTCGGAAAAAACTTACCTGGAACTTTAGCAGAAATGATATGGTGCAATTTGTTTCCCAAAATTTAACCCAACAAATTACAAAATTTGTTCAGGCGATGTTTTGATTATTTTACTTCTAGGGCTTAAGTCGGACCCTTTAAAAATGGAAAAAAGCGACCCCCTAAAACATTGGAGAACCATTGTTTCAGATAATAAAACAAACTTTTGAGTGTTTTTTTTGCAAATTGCAAACCAAAACACTTGTCAAAATCTTCAATAAAAAATTCAGGTCCTTGGTCGGGGAGCATTTTCAGCATGTGTTAGTTGCATACTAAATGTGTTTTTGGTTCCGACCATTTCAAATCATTTCGATCATTTTGTATTCGAGTGAGACTTTTTTTATTTCCTTGCAAAATCAGGTACCACAAATAATCATCGGAATAGGTTGAATGATGTATCATAATAAAGCTTTGAAAAACTGGATTGAAATTTTTTAGTTTTTGTCTAATCTCAATCTAATAAGGTGAGCGTGCATGCCTACAATAGCTTATTTTCATTCCCAAAATGTCGCCAAAAAACTCCAAAGTAACTTTAATTGAGTGAAACAAAGATTTTACGGCTTAAATTAAAGCCGCAAAATCTTTGTTTCACTCAATTTAAGTTATTTTTTGGAGTTTTTCAGCGACAGTTTGGGAATCAGAATAAGCTATTGTAGGCATGCACGCTCACCTCATTAGATTGAGACTAGACAAAAACCAAAAAATTTCAAACCAGTTTTTCAAAGCTTTTTTATGATACATCATTCAACCTATTCCGATGATTATTTGTGGTACCTGATTTTGCATGGAAATAAAAAAAATTCTCACTCGAATACAAGATGATCGAAATTGTTTGAAATGGTCGGAACCAAAAACACAGTTAGTATGCAACTAACACATGCTGAAAATGCTCCCCGACCAAGGACCTGAATTTTTTATTGAAGATTTTGACAAGTGTTTTGGTTTGCAATTTGCAAAAAAACACTCAAAAGTTTGTTTTATTATCTGAAACAATGGTTCTCCAATGTTTTAGGGGGTCGCTTTTTTCCATTTTTAAAGGTGAAATTTAAAACTCACCGTATTTTAAATCAATGAATTATTAATAATAAAAATTTCTCTTCATTTTTTATCTCAATATCTATTGAAATGCATTTTTATGCTTGACATTCTTGGAAAAAAAACTTGAAGAGAACGTCGGTAGACTTCGGGTCTTGATTCAACTATTTAGTGATCAGAGGAATGTGCATTGGTCATTGCACGACGCCGGATACTTGTCGCAAAAAGCATCAATATATATGAAGCCCATTTACAATCGCCAAATCAACATACAAAGCATAAATGAGTAAACTACTTTGGGGGAAAATTGGCTTGTTTAAGAAAACTCAAGTTTTTACACAGAACCAAGCCTCAAAGTAGCAAAAACTTGGCAACGTGTAGGATCCAAATCTGCTACCTACTGCAATAAAGAGATTTTGAGTCTCACGCACTATCCACTCAAGCACCCAAGCTCAACAACCGACAAACACTAGTCACGAATAAAGGAGCTACATATGCTAAAAATTTGCCAATGCGATTCAGCAAAATAGGCACCAATTACAAATAGACTCAATTTTGCATGTAATAATTTGGAATATAACAAACTGAAAGCATCCATAGAAACTCTGCCTGTAACAAACCGCAAAGCATAAAACCACATTATGAATAAATTATGCATATCAAAAATTGCGAGTTTTCATTAGTGTTATGTTGTTTGAAACAAATCACTTTTTTCGGTTCATTTGATGAATTAAAAATGCTCTAAAAAGCTCTAATATTTGCGAACTTAGATAGGAAAAAAAGAAGGTTCGTACTAGTACACTCGCTTCGCAAGTGTAAAGAAGATTATCATCTAAATGAAAATATTAGATATACGAGCGGTCTTGAATTAGATATAATCGAATTAAGTAAAATTAGAGCTCTTCAGTAAACACAACCAGGCATGGCATATATCGGCGCATACTCGAGCAAGATTCGGACTTACTTATAAATCACAGAAAACCCGCGTCACATACCAGAAAATTGTCCAGTGAATCAACAAAGTCAAACT